TCATTGGGGGGTGGGGGGGAGGAGGGGTGTTAGAGAGATATAGAGTTGTAGTAAGTAGATAGAGTTCACTATGATTGAGGTTTCGTTTATGCATAGGGTCGATTCTTTTAATTACATTTCCTTTTTTGTTTTGTGTATTTTATACATTTTGGATTTGCTTGGCGAGCTATTTTTAGAACATGCCCCGCGGGCGACTCACGTTGCCCCTGCGGGCGACTAAGTGCCCGCGGGCACCGTGTTGGCTACCCCTGCTCTAGAGAGAAGCTGACTGATCCACACTTACACTTCCTCAGACCTGCTCTGAACCTCTGCTCTCCACCATGGTCCAGCCTGGAGGAAGAAACACATGTGAGAAACAGAACAGCGTATTGTTAGAATAAAGTATTTATCAATGTTCATCATAATAATAAATGCTATGTGTCCGAAGGGAGCAGGAGGGAGCAGATGCTTATTGATCCCCCTCACTTACTGCTGATCAATGATTATCCTTTCAATCATCTCTGAAAGTTATTCCTACTTACATATTTACATTTATACATTTACAATCATTTCTCCTCTTCAATCTCCTTTCTTCATTCTCATACATCCCCAAAGAAGTGTTTCTGTGCATCCTTCAAAGTGAATGCTATGTGTGCTTTGTTTGAACTCCTGCTCCAAGCCGCTCCATGAAACCCCCCCCCACAGATTGTTCTGCTCTTCTCAGAGTTCTTCTGACCTTGAGTTGTTTCAGATGTAGATCTCCTCTCAGATGATACCCCCCCTCTCTGTCTATGAACAACGTCTGTAGTGTCCTAGGAAGTAGATGATCTCTTGCTCTGTACATGATGCAGTTTGAAATGTAACCAGATCAGTAAACTTCAGTGTGTGTGACTTCAAGAATAATGAATGAGTGTGTTCAAGATATCCAACATTATTGATTACTCTTAGAGCCCTTTTTTGTAATGTGCATATATCATATCACTTTTCACGAGTGTTTTCGTTGAGCTCTTCAACACCCCCCCCGTTGATAATTCACGATCGTCGGCACGCTGATACATTTTTTTTTTTTAGAATGGCACTTCATATCAAAAAGGTTGCCGACCCCTGGTTTAGGCCATCAGTGATCCATGCACGGTGACTTTGTTTGTGTCTCTCTGCATTGTTTAGGCCATCAGTGATCCATGCACGGTGACTTTGTTTGTGTCTCTCTGCATTGTTTAGGCCATCAGTGATCCATGCACGGTGACTTTGTTTGTCTCTCTCTGCATTGTTTAGGCCATCAGTGATCCATGCACGGTGACTTTGTTTGTGTCTCTCTGCATTGTTTAGGCCATCAGTGATCCATGCACGGTGACTTTGTTTGTGTCTCTCTGCATTGTTTAGGCCATCAGTGATCCATGCACGGTGACTTTGTTTGTGTCTCTCTCTGCATTGTTTCACAGGACACTTTTTGTCACAAAGTGATTTCAAAATGTTTAGAAATTCCTCATATGCCTTGTCCATATCGTCTCTCATATACTACCCTCCAATTGTGATTAAAGTATTCTTTAATGCATTTATGTTTTCTTCAGTTCTCAATCTTTTGTATTTGAAATGGCTGGAGACTTTAGGTTTCTTATAACTGCAGTGATAGACAATAAGAACAGGTGAATGATCACTGATGTCACTATATAGTAGTCCCTACTGTATTGTTCTCCATAATGTTTGTGAATATGTTGTCTATTCATGTAGCAGAGAAGTGATTGTACTAGGTCTGGTGATTTTAGGATACTAACCCATACTGTACAATGCATTGATGAAGTCTTCTTAAGTCTTTAACCCTAACCCCTAAGATAAACATCATGTTTTGTAATGATTTAGTAAACATGTTTCTATCCTATCTGTAAATGTGTCAATACAGGTTCCAGGAGCTCTGTATATACAGCTCACAATAACATGTTTAGACCTTTCCATACACATGTCTACTGTAACACCAGTGGCGTCGCCTGGCCTGGGCATCCGGGGCTTTAGCCCCGAATGTTTTTTCTGTAGCCCCGGACAATTCTCCGGTATTACATTAACCGCGCTTTACGTGAACCTCATCATGACACAAGAGAGGACGGCAGCACTGTAATTTCCCGTGTTCAGTGAATGCAACAGAGGCATGACACCAGACCAATCAGAGAGTTGCATGGAAATAAACGTGTGCTTGTGTCATTCAAGCTCGGCTCTGTGTGTGTGTGGCAATAGCGCATTAGTGTGATAGAGAGAGAGAAAGGGAGGGAGCGGTGCCAGCATGGACCGTGTTGTTAGCATCTGGTTAGCTAGCTGCACTAACGGACATAAGGAGCTGTTTCCACAACAAGCTGGAGGAGAGTCCTCTCCTCTCAGACTGAGAGACTCAGGTGAGCTAAAGGACTCTCTGAGTGTTTAGATACATAACTTTAGTCTAAGTTATCTCAGTGGGTCTCAAACGGTTTGGTCACAAATTATTCAAAAGATTATTTCCGCGGCACACCTTCATATGATCATTATAGTTATAAAAAAAATAAGAGAATAAAGGAAAAACAGTTATGAAATACTATATGGCAGTAAAACAAGAATAGAGTTTAAAAGGGGAGTGATTAGTAAAATATCCATAAAGAAAAAGTACATCTGTTTACAGTTCTGTTTCATATGGGTGTTGAGAGAGGTATCCATAGATCTCTTCATTTTGCTCTCAAAGTGCACCAGATTGATGCATCTAACTTCAATATTTAAAAAAAAATCTTCCCGGGGGAGCATCCCCCCGTACCCCTCTAGAGGAGGTGAGCCCCCCACTCATAAAAAATACCACTTTACCCCTGCCTATATGCCGTGAGCTGATTATCGAGCCTTCATTGTAACAGTCGCAGGTGTACTGTGTGTGTGCGTGTGGGGAGTGTTGTAGTGAAAAATGCCACTGTAGTGCCGCCGCCACTGTGGGCTAAGCCCCGAATGTGTTCAGGTCCAGGCGACGCCCCTGTGTAACACATTCAAACAAATCATCAACAGCTGTTGTTATGCTCTCCACCACCTTCTAGTTCATTCCTTTATCCACATAGATTGCCACACCCCCTCCACTCTTATTCCTTCTGTTTGTATAATTCAGTTCATAGCCATCCATCTCAAAGTCCACACCTCTCTCAGCACTGACCCAGGTCTCTGATATTGCTATGATGTTGAATGGGTTCTTAAACTGACTTAGATATTCTTTAATGTTGAGGAAGTTGGCATCTAGGCTTCTGCTATTGAAGTGGATCATTGATATGTTCTCTTCTGATTGACACGTTATATTGAATTGCTCTTCTGTGAAATAGTTGCAGCTGTTGTTAATATTGTTCAGTAAGTTGTTTTCCGGATCAATGTCATTTTCCATGTCCTGTGTGTTATGCTCTGTATATGCAAACGTTTATAGTCTTGATAGAGAGATGTGTTTATTATCTGGAATGGTCATGGTAGTGTTTTATTTCTGTGACCTGGTCTGATTTGTTTCATTGATATGTTTCCAGTTCCTCCAGGTCCCTGATGATGAACACTTTGTTCTGGGGATCCGTGAAGCTTGATGGAGATGTTGCACTTTGCAGTCCATGTTGATGTATTTTTCGCTGTTTTCTCAGGAATCGGGTCTTTCTGGCAATCTCAGCATTTCTTTTAGTGAGGTGTTCATTCATATATACATCCGAGCCCTTAAGCCGTCTTCCCTGTTTCAGAAGTTCAGTTTTCTGTTTTCTGTTGGCAAACCTTATTATTATTGCCGGTTTATCTGTTTTATTTCTGTGTGGTAGCGGGTGACAGGCCTCGATGTTGTCGCTGTCAATCTCTATTCCCTTGGAGTTGAGGAAGGCCGTCACCTGTAGCTCCACAGATGTAGCATCCTCCTCACTTGTGTCCCCTCCGGTCATCCTCATCGCCGCCTGGGCGTATGAGCGGGGTTTCGTCTCCAGTCCAGTGATTATGATGTTGTGGATTCGGGTGTATTGCTCCAGCTCATCCACCCGATTTTCCAGCAAGAATATCCTTTTTTCCTTTTCTGAGTTTTGTAGGCTCAGGGCTTTAACTTCCTCCACCAGGCTCATAATGTTATCTGTTGCTGTCTTACAACAGATACCTCCTCCGTCAACATGTCTATCGTTTAATGTCGTCAACCTCCTCAGCATGCGGAGGAATCTTTTTTGGTGGCATTGCGTTTTGTTTAAGATTATTATATAACGGAGAGAAAGAGGAAATGAGTGTTTCCGTCTCTCTGCGGATCCTTCTGCTTGTTGTGACACAGACTACTTTCACTTCCAGGTCTGTGTTAAGAACAAAGCTCAAAGCTCATAATGTGCAGAAAACCAAAACTGTGGTCCAAACAGTAGCAATCCTTGTTGTATGTGCTTTCCTGCTAAACACCAAAGAAGCACATGCATTCCTCCTGACCAAGACAACGTGCACATATGAAGCTGATTCAACAAAACTAAAGGACATCCCTTCTTTGCCACTTCCTCAGCTAGCTTGAGCCCTCAGTTTACCGGGTCGCTCATTAAAGCACTTCATGACTGACAACGTGGCGAATATAATGTAGTCAAACTCATCCATTTTTACAGATTCGCAGATTTTGATGCTTTGCGTCCCGGTCAGCTGGGATAGATCGCCGAGATGCCGACTGGCAGAGACACTGGCTGCCGAAAACAAACAAAACCGAACCAACCTCCCCAAGTTTAACGAAACAAAAAACAGACAAACAAACAACTAAGTGAAACAATTAATAAGCACAAAAATAACCTACGTCAAATGAACGCATATTAAAGAGTCCAGATCGTCCCTCTGGGAATCTAAAATGTCAAACAGAATCTCATCTCAACACATTTAGCAGTTGGTGAGATATCAGGTCAGAACTAAATCCATAAACTGACCATCATTATCCTCCCTAGAGCCAGGAAACCAGTGGTTCTGATGTTTGGACTGAATGGCTGTTTCCATGTAATAAGACTTCAAGGTTAACTCACTGCAGTGAACATAATCAAGGGAAATGAGACGTCCTTCATGATGGAAGACCAGAGATGAAGGAGATGAAATTAGAAAAATACGAGGAAGTCAGTCTGTCCATACCTGAGTGTCTCCAGACTGCAGAGTGGATCCTCCCGTCCAGCAGACAGCAGCTTCTCTCCTGAGTCTCCTGGATGATTGTAGCTCAGGTCCAGCTCTCTCAGATGGGAGGGGTTGGAGCTCAGAGCTGAAGCCAGAGAAACACAGCCTTCCTCTGTGACCAGACAGCCGGACAGACTGGATTCAGGGAATACAGTAAACTCAGTGTTCTTAAAAGTCACCTCAGCAGGAAAATCATACAGAGGTGGACCATCTTCATCAACATGAACAAAAAGCTGGATGAAAATAATTGAACTGCTTGAAAATAAAAAGCGGAACTCTGACCTGAGAGTCTTCAGTTCACAGTGTGGACTCTCCAGTCCAGCAGATACCAGCTTCACTCCTGAATCCTTCAGGTCGTTGTTACTCAGGTCCAGATCTCTCAGACTAGAGGACTGGGAGCTGAGGACTGAGGACAGAGCTTCACAGCTTCTCTCTGACAGGTTACAGCCAGTTAACCTTGAAAGAAATGAATGAATATGACAACATTCCTTTAATATTAAATGTGATTGTGCGCAAAGTTTCAACATACAATCTTTTCTAGTTCTTTTGTCAAATGATACCATCTGTTTGTCTGTGCATGTTTGGGTTGGTCAATCAGTCAGATACATTGAGATGTAGATAAGTGACGCCATCTGTCTTCAAATATAATCAGATTGTTATAATGGTTTTGTGGTTTATTGTTTTGAAGAAGAAAAATAAACAAAAAACCGAAGGAGAATCGAAATGTATTATTATTCTAATTTGATAAAACTGTAAATTAGTCGATAGAAATGGCTGAACAAAACCACTGACTGTTAACACATCAGCTGAACTCTGACCTGAGAGACTTCAGTTCACAGTGTGGGCTCTCCAGTCCAGCAGATACCAGCTTCACTCCTGAATCCTTCAGGTCGTTGTTACTCAGGTCCAGCTCTCTCAGACTAGAGGACTGGGAGCTGAGGACTGAGGACAGAGCTTCACAGCTTCTCTCCGACAGGTTACAGCCAGTTAACCTTGAAAGAAATGAATAAATATGACAACATTCCTTTAATATTAAATGTGATTGAGCGCAAGGTTTCAACATACAATCTTTTCTAGTTCCTTTGTCAAATGATACCATCTGTTTGTCTGTGCATGTTTGTGTTTGCCAATCAGTCAGATACATTGAGATGTAGATAAGTGACGCCATCTGTCTTCAAATATAATCAGATTGTTATAATGGTTTTGTGGTTTATTGTTTTGAAGAAGAAAAATAAACAAAAAACCGAAGGAGAATCAAAATGTATTATTATTCTAATTTGATAAAACTGGAAATTAGTCGATAGAAATGTCTGAACAAAACCACTGACTGTTAACATATCAGCTGAACTCTGACCTGAGAGTCTTCAGTTCACAGTGTGGACTCTCCAGTCCAGCAGATACCAGCTTCACTCCTGAATCCTTCAGGTCGTTGTTACTCAGGTCCAGATCTCTCAGACTAGAGGACTGGGAGCTGAGGACTGAGGACAGAGCCTCACAGCTTCTCTCCGACAGGTTACAGCCAGTTAACCTTGAAAGAAATGAATAAATATGACAACATTCCTTTAATATTAAATGTGATTGAGCGCAAGGCAGTGTTGTCGTCAAGTCACCAATTCACGAGTCCAAGTCACTCTCGAGTCACCACTCTTTGAGTCCGAGTCCAAGTCCGAGTCACCAAGGGAGAGTCGTAGTCGAGTCCGAGTCCAAGTCCGAGTCACCCAAGGAGTGTCCGAGTCGAGTCCGAGTCCGAGTCATCATTACCTGTGTTTGAGTCCGAGTCCAAGTCCGAGTCACCCAAGGAGTGTCCGAGTCGAGTCCGAGTCCGAGTCATCATTACCTGTGTTCGAGTCCGAGTCCAAGTCCGAGTCACCCAAGGAGTCTCCGAGTTGAGTCCGAGTCTGAGTCATCATTACCTGTGTTCGAGTCCGAGTCCAAGTCCGAGTCACCCAAGGAGTGTCCGAGTCAAGTCCGAGTCCGAGTCATCATTACCTGTGTTCGAGTCCGAGTCCAAGTCCGAGTCACCCAACGAGTGTCCGAGTCGAGTCCGGGTCACAAGTCTTCATGTATTAATCTTTGTGGATATATGTGTTGAAATGTAGCTGCTCCTCTACATTGCTTTTATCCTGTCATGTTATACTAATCTGTCTATTGAACTGCTGTGAAGCCAGTTTGGCTACAATTCTTGTAATAGTACTATACAAATAGAAAGCGTATTACTAATATTAATATTATTATTATTACTATTATTATTGTAAATGACCTATAATATGTCTAACTATATTTAAAATGAGTTACCTTTTAGAGAAGTGATTATATTTGTATGCCAATATTTTCCTATGGTAAAGTTTTCGTTTTGCACTTTTATTTTGATAGTAATAAGATCGGGACTCTTATTTTGAAGGAACTTTTACCGGTTAAATTGGTTTACTGATGAAGATTAAGCCCCAGAAAGCACATGGCTACTTAGCATGGAAAATGACGTCATTCTGTATGTTAAGTAGCCATGTGCTTTCGTGTTATCAGCTGAATCACGTTACTCTGATGATAGTGTTCAAGACAGCCTATATGTCTGAACTCGATCCTTAGAGTAATGTGTTACGGAGTCTTCTCTTCAATATTTTTTCCACATAACGAGCATTTTGCGCTGCTCTTTCCCAATGTGGAAGCAGAATGTGTGAAAGCATACAGCACGATGCGGGGTGTGTCTCTGGACATCTCTAGATTGGAATAGCGGGGCCCAGTACGTGAACTCGCCTTGCAGGTGCACACGCAGGGATAGAGGACATCAGACTCCAGAGAAAACTTGCTCGAGTCCGAGTCCAAGTCGGAGCGTCAATGTACAAGTCGAGTCCGAGTCATCGTGGGCGGGAAATTCACGAGTCCGAGTCCAAGTGTACGCCAGAATTCACGAGTCCGAGTCCGAGTCCAAGTCATCGTGCGCGAGAATTCACGAGTCCAAGTCCGAGTCACGTCAATCAGTGCACGAGTCCGAGTCGAGTCACGAGTCCCGAAAATCGACACTGGAGTCCGACTCGAGTCCGAGTCCAGGACTCGAGTACTCCATCTCTGGCGCAAGGTTTCAACATACAATCTTTTCTAGTTCCTTTGTCAAATTATACCATCTATTTGTCTGTGCATGTTTGTGTTTGTCAATCAGTCAGATACATTGAGATGTAGATAAGTGACGCCATCTGTCTTCAAATATAATCAGATTGTTATAATGGTTTTGTGGTTTATTGTTTTGAAGAAGAAAAATAAACAAAAAACCGAAAGGAGATTCAAAATGTATTATTATTCTAATTTGATAAAACTGGAAATTAGTCGATAGAAATGGCTAAACAAAACCACTGACTGTTAACATATCAGCTGAACTCTGACCTGAGAGTCTCCAGTTCACAGTGTGGACTCTCCAGTCCAGCAGATACCAGCTTCACTCCTGAATCCGGCAGGTCGTTGTTACTCAGGTCCAGCTCTCTCAGACTAGAGGACTGGGAGCTGAGGACTGAGGACAGAGCTTCACAGCTTCTCTCTGACAGGTTGCAGCCACTCAGCCTGGGGAAAGATCAGCAGTGAACACAAAGAGTTGTATTCTCATGTCTCAACCTGTTCATAGTTAATGTAGTTTGATCTCCACTTACAGAGCTTTCCTGGAGGCTTTGACCACTGGCAGCAGCTTCAGAAGAGCCTCCTCTGAAGCTGAGTATTTCTGCAGGTCAAACTCTTCCAGATCTTCTTCTGATGACAGTAAGATGAAGACCAGAGCTGACCACTGAGCAGGAGACAGTTTATCTGTGGAGAGACTTCCTGATCTCAGGGACTGTTGGATCTCCTCCACTAGAGAACGATCATTCAGTTCATTCAGACAGTGGAACAGGTTGATGCTTTTCTCCGGAGACGGGTTCTTTCTTATCTTTTTCTTGATGTATTTCACTGTTTTCTGGTTGATCTCTGAGCTACTTCCTGTCTGCGTCAGCAGGTCGGGTAGGAGTTTCTGATTGGTCTGCAGTGAAAGACCCAGGAGGAAGCGGAGGAACAAGTCCAGGTGTCCGTTTGGACTCTGTAAGGCCTGGTCCACAGCACTCTGGTAGAGATCTGTTAGTTTAGGTTTGGGTCTGAAGACTTTAAGCAGCCTGGAGGTTGTTGGTTCTTCTGACAGCAGGTTGACTCCAGAGTTGATGAAGGTCAGATGGACATGAAGAGCAGCCAGAAACTCCTGAACGCTCAGATGGACGAAGCAGAACACTGTGTTCTTGTATGTTCCTCTCTCCTCTCTAAAGACATGTGTGAACACTCCTGAGTACACTGAGGCTGCTCTGATATCGATGCCACACTCTCTCAGGTCGGACTCATAGAAGATCAGGTTGCCTTTCTGCAGCTGCTCAAAAGCCAGTTTTCCCAGAGACTCCATCATCTTCATCCTGCTCTCTGGACTCCTGTGTGGATCTGTCTCAGCTCCTCCATCATACTTGACGTTCACTTTGGACTGAACCACCAGGAAGTGGATGTACATCTCAGTCAGGGTCTTGGGCAGCTCTCCTCTCTCAGTTTTCAACATGTCCTCCAGAACTGAAGCAGAGATCCAGCAGAAGATTGGGATGTGGCACATGATGTGGAGGCTTCGTGAGGTCTTGATGTGGGAGATGATGGTGCCGGCCTGCTCCTGATCTGTGAATCTCTTCCTGAAGTACTCCTCCTTCTGTGGGTCAGTGAACCCTCGGACCTCTGTCACCATGTCCACACACTCAGTGATCTGATTGGCTGCTGCAGGGCGTGTGGTTATCCAGAGACAAGCAGAGGGAAGCAGCTTCCCCCTGATGAGGTTTGTCAGCAGCCGATCCACTGAGGTGGACTCTGTGACATCAGTCAGGATGTCAGTGTTGTGGAAGTCCAGAGGAAGTCGACACTCATCCAGACCGTCGAAGATGAACACAACCGGGAACTGATCAAACATGCAGATTCCTGCCTCTCTGGTTTCAGTGAAGAAGTGATGAACAAGTTCCACCAAGCTGTACTTGTTCTCTCTCACCACATTCAGCTCTCTGAAGGTGAATGGAAATATGAACTGGATGTCCTGGTTGGCTTTGCCTTCAGCCCAGTCCAGAGTGAACTTCTGTGTTAAGACTGTTTTCCCAATGCCAGCCACGCCCTTTGTCATCACTCTGATTGGTTTACCTCTTTCAGTTGAGGCTTTAAAGAGGTCTTCTTGTCTGATGGGTGTTTCTGATCTGCCTGGTTTACTGGATGCTTGTTCGATCTGTCTGATCTCGTGTTCCTTGTTGACCTCTGTGGTGTCTCCCCTGGTGATGTAGATCTCCGTGTAGATTTTATGTAGGGATTCAGATTTTTCCATAAATTTGATATTTTCATATTTTTTCTTCAGGTTTGATTTGAGTTCACCTTGGCACTTAGTGAGAATATCTGAATGAATAAGAAAGACATTTACACAAAAGACACATCAAAATATTTCCTTCTAATTGGACCCATTTCTGACAAAATAGCAGGTTATTTTCCTTATATCAAGTCACTGGATCGTGTTGCATAATTATCTGTACATTGTCCAGTATAAGTTCCACCCCACAGAGAACCATCAGTTTTCCCACAGAGAACCATGGCCCTGAACCTGACTGACTCTTATTCCTGCTGCTGGGAGATGAGGCACGATACCAGCAGATCCCAACACCCACTGAGGGTGTGGACACAGCTCTCTCTCCAGTTATACAGGAAGTGGATGGCTCTTACCATGGGCGTCGCAGCCATTATATGAGGGTGGGACAAGTCCCCCCCACTTTTTCAAATGGTTAGTTTAGACCCCCCCACTTTTACTATGCGGAAAGTCCGTGAATCGGTCTATCCACTCGCCGCACTTTGTAGAGCGCTGTGTCAGTGCTTCACTATCAAATGAAATCCATTCCACTTGCTTATTGAGAGAATGCCCAAACCAATGAAACTCCGTACCATGTTTTCACTGCTACTTTGTACCAAGGCAGATTCTCACATAGCGCGCGCATGTTCAAGGAGTGTTGTCATAGTTGGACAGCTCAGATCTGTTGTATGAAAGCGATGCCGGTAGCGGAGGTAAGGCACACACACCAAATGTTCAGGAAATTGTTAATACAGCGAAAATCAAAGCTGACGATCTCTTGGTTTGATATGTTTTCTCCCCCAGACAACATGGACATAAGAACATTTTTTTCAAAGAAGAGGAAAATAAGTCATCCGCTGGTAGCAGTTAATCAGTTAACAGTGATGGCGGCGTCTCACTTCTGGAGAGGAGTTTCGTCTTTATGTCATGATAGAGAAATACAAATACTGAATAGTTTAGATGAGAAAAAGGCATCGAAATGCCAGGTTACTAGTATTTATCATGTAAACAGGGAACATGAATAACCCGATCTCTCTGTGCTCATGTAAACACCATATCCCCAATATGATCATAACTAGGATAATACTCATAAACGGCTTACTGATGTCCATGTAGAGACGCAGTCAGTGTGTTTTACTGGAGCCTCAGTTCGATAAGAGATTCTTTTCTGAGTTCTTTAACTTAGGTACTCTCTCTCAAAATGGTAATGTGCATTATGTTTTAATTATACTTCTTATCATTCAGAAGCTTTTTGTGTGTGTTTATGTTTTACTGAGTGCTTATAGGCTATTTCCATCCCAGTATTCAGTTAACTATTTATTTTCTGTGCACATTACATAGACTAGCTAATATTCTACCTACTGCTTGGAACTTTGAGTCTTCAAAATGTCCAATGTCACAGACTGGGACTTACTTTAGAGTCAGTTGTATTTACATTCAGTATGACTTGTTATGATTTAATGTGAAAGAGTATACTGCTCAATAAATAATTATCACTTCACCACCTCTCTTGACATCTAGGCACTTGAGAGTGAGTCAGAGGCAGAATACAGGGACAGTGGAGAGAGGTCCATTGCTGAGGTGAGTGATGAAAGGGAAATGACAGTTGAGAGTAAATTGTGATGTGGACTCTCATCCCAGGATTTTAAGGAAATCAGTGGGGATATTGAACAGGAAACATTTCAGTCAAGGGGCATCATATGACCAATATAGACAGAAGAGCAACATTTATTTGAACATTTAAGTCAATGATACCATTCCTAGGTGAACTTAACATCCATATGGAGTCAGATCAGTCTCAATATTAATAAATGCTCACAGAAGGATTCACAAATGTATTTTGCGATTTATATATAAATGACTCTCCACAACAATATCTCTCAATGCACTCACAAATAATTATTGTTGTATATAAATGTACAAAAAATTGGCATTTAAACTGCTTTTTATTAATTCAAAACGGCTCTGAATTAATAATCAAATATGTTTCCTTTCTTTACTACTGGATGAAATTACAAACATTTTCCTCATGCTAGTATAGCCACATAAAAGTATCAAACCACCTGTTAAAATGCACCAGAATACAGGAAATCTATATTTTTTTTCGCCCCCACACCCCCCGTTAAAAATGTCCCCCCCACATTCAGGATGCTTCCTACGCTCCCATGGCTCTTACTGTGTCGCAGTATACTCCTGCAGTAGCCTACCATCTACAAGACACCCTGGGGGGTCACAGTAATAACCCGTCCCTTCCTCACCAAGTCATGTTGGATGGCAAATGATACCTCCTTCCACCTATAGGGGTAGTAACTAGAGAATGCAATTCCTGAAGAAATTGCTAGTGGGAATGCTTTATGCTGAAAAGCTGACGCTAAACTGCTATGCTGAAATGTAATGTGTAAGAAGAAAGTGAAGAATTTAGATTGAAATTATACATGAACACTGGGGGCTTGAATGTGTGATGAGAGAAGAAAAGAAAGTAAAAAGGCACTTTTCACTGAAGTTATGAGAAAACCTCAGAGACAGAGACAAAGGAAGAAAGGCTTTCTATGCTATCAAAAAGTCTTCAAATATAGATATACCTGTTAGAATCTGGCTCACAATATTCAATTCAATAATAGAACCAATCATACTGTATGGTAGCGAAGTGTGGGGTCCCCTTGGAAATCAAGACTTTGATAAATGGGACAAACACCCAATAGAAACTCTACATGCGGAGATATGCAAGAGCATCCTGAGAGTCCACAGGAACACCCCCAACAATGGATGCCGAGCTGAGCTAGGCCAATTCCCCCTTTTAATTAGGTTACAAAAAAGAGCAGGCAAATTCTACAACCACCTAAAAACCAGTGATCCCAACTCCTACCATTACAAAGCCCTCCATTGCCAAGAGGAGAACATAGAGAGGAGTCCCCTCATCCAGCTGGACCTGAGGCTCACCTCCTCTAACAGGACAAGGCCTCAACCAGCTGGTCCTGAGGCTCACCTCCTCTAACAGGACAAGGCCTCAACCAGCTGGTGCTGAGGCTCACCTCCTCTAACAGGACAAGGCCTCATCCAGCTGGTCCTGAGGCTCACCTCCTCTAACAGGACAAGGCCTCAACCAGCTGGTCCTGAGGCTCACCTCCTCTAACAGGACAAGGCTTCAACCAGCTGGTCCTGAGGCTCACCTCCTCTAACAGGACAAGGCCTCAACCAGCTGGTGCTGAGGCTCACCTCCTCTAACAGGACAAGGCCTCAGGACAGCCCTCACACAATCTGGCCCAACCAAATCATAGCTAAAGCAAAAGAAAATGACATCAACTATTGGACATGTACCACGCAAACCCAAAACAAACTTCAATGCTATTTGGCTCTAAACAGACAGTACACGGTGGCAAACTATCTGACCGCCGTGACTGATCCCAAACTGAGGAAGACATTAACAATGTACAGACTCAGTGACCACAGCCTGGCCGTAGAGACTGGCCGACACAGGCAGACCTGCCTAGAGAAGACAGGCTGTGTCAGCTCTGTCCACAGAGACAGGTGGAGACAGACAGGTGAGAGAGAGACAGGTGGAGACAGACAGGTGAGAGAGAGACAGGTGGAGACAGACAGGTGAGAGACAGACAGAGAGAGACAGGTGGAGACAGACAGGTGAGAGACAGACAGAGAGAGAGAGACAGGTGGAGACAGAGCAACACTTCCTGCTGCACTGTCAAACATACAAAGACATTAGAACAAAGTTCTTTACAAAGATAACATGTAAACTCCAAGATTTTGAATCACTGTCTGACCTGAATAAAATGCAACATGTACTTGGAGAAAATAGTGCCACCAGCATAGAAGCAGCGAAATATGTGAGCGCATGACACAGCCTAAGAGACAGCAACAACACATAACAGCTGTTCCTCACAGCTCACTCTGATTACTCCTCTACTTCATGGGTCTCTTTTCTTTCTTTTTACATTTGATACTTGCAGTTTTGTAATAATATATTGTTGTAAATTGTTTAATGAATGAATTGTATTTGTATTTTTCTTTTTTTTCTTATCATATCACTATTGAATTGTATTATCCTTGACGCTTTGGCAATATTGTTCACCTGCAATAAAGCTTATTGAATTGAAAATTAGAGAGAGAGAGAGAGAGAGAGAGAGAGAGAGAGAGAGAGAGAGAGAGAGAGAGAGAGAGAGAGAGAGTGTAGCATCATGGCGGCCGTGAGTGGTGAGAGGAACTCGTTCACCTTTTTTTGAACATCTAAGCTCACATACACCCGTTGTAACTGCCATCGTTATTGCAGTGGGGATATAAGATGCACTGGACGCTTTTGGTACACAATGTGTCTCGTTACCACGCTGAGATTGGCCTTTAAACAAGCCCTGAACAGCGGGCGAGTCTACAAACAACGCCTGAACGTCTGCGACCCAAGCCCAACACCGGCCGGAGATGTTCGTGTAGACTTCGAGCAATATGCGCGATTATTGTCAGATTGTGAGTGGACTACTTTCCAGAGAGATGAAAGAGCGTACAGGGGGACACTGGACACAAAACTGCTCCAGGTAAGATCTAACTTTGCTGTTACTCACGGAGGCGCAGAGAAGTGGGGCAGGCTGGTGACAATCCTGACCAGCGCTTTTTTCATTAATGGAATATTCTCCGCGACGCAACGAAACTCGCGTCCGTATGGATTCCAGCTTCTGAAATATGTCGCCAGAATCCTGAAGAAATTCCCTCTTTCTGCCGACTTCCCGGTGGACCTTACACCTGACTCGCTGACACCATGGATAGAAATGCAGCTTCACTTCATCCGTGAGAGAATACAACCAGCGCTGCGGGCCGCCGGGACAGAGACACTACGGCAGCAAAGGAAAGTTTCCAGGAACAAGCTGGCATATCTCTGGCAACACCGCAAATCAAAGGCAATCGATATCATTTTAAATAACAGCTGTTTTCCGGAAACCCCGCCCACTGTTAGTGATACAGCCAATGTGTATAACTACTATAAAGCCAAATGTCAAACTGTGCCGAGGGCTACTCCCCTGGCCACGCCCCCTTGGTACAATTTCATTGA